CCATATCTGAGAGGAGAGGATCTTTCCCCTCAGAGAGGAGAGGGCTGATCTCCAAAATATACAAAGAACTTGAGAAGCTAGTCCCCAAAACACCAAACAATCCAATTAAAATTGGCATATAGAACTAAATAGACAATTCTCAATAGAGGAATCTCAAACGGCTAAAAGACACATAAGAAAGTGTTCAACATCCTTAGCCATCAGGGAAATGCAAATCAAAACAACTCTGAGATACCATCTTACTCGTGTCAGAAGGGCTAAAATCAAAAACACTAATGACAGTTCATGCTGGAGAGGATGTGGAGAAAGAGGAACACTCATCCACTGCTGGTGGGAGTGCCAACTTGTACAGCCACTTTGGAAATCAGTATGGTGACTCCTCAAGAAAATGGGAATCAGTCTACCACAAGATCCAGCAGTACCACTCCTAGGCATATACCCAAAAGAAGCACATTCATACAACAAGGACATCTGTTCAACAATGTTCATAGCAGCACTATTTGTAATAGCCAGAACCTGGAAGCAGCCTAGATGCCCCTCAAGTGAAGAATGGATAGAGAAAATGTGGTACATTTACACAATGGAGTACTACTCAGAGGAGAAAAACAATGGATTCTTAAAATTTGCAGGAAAATGGATGGAACTAGAAGAAACCATTCTGAGCGAGGTAATCCAGTCACAAAAAGACAAACATGGTGTGTCCTCACTCATATGTGGATTTGTGACATGGAGTAAATGATTGCCAGCCTACAATCCACACTGCCAGAGAAACTAGGAAACAAGAAGGACCCTAAAAGAGACAAAATTTGTCCCCTGGAGAAGGGGAAAGTGTCACCATCACCTGAGCAAATTGAGAACATGGGAAGAGGTGGGAGGGACATGCGAGAATGAGAAGGGAAGAGGAGGGATGCAGAGGTCATGAGGGAGCAGAAAGGTTTAATCAGGTGTAGATTAGAAGAGAGGATATGAAATAGGTAGTGTTTTAGTTGGGAGGGGTGGTAGGGAAGGAAGGGAGGGAGAAGGGAACTGGGATTGTCATGCAATTCAATCTTGTTTGTAATTCAAATAAAAATATTTGTTAAAGAAAATTTCTCCAGAAAAAAAAAGAACCAGGCTCCCACCATGCCTGGGGGGGGGTCATTTAGCACCTGAGGCCTATGGCAGAGGCTCCCCCATCAACTTTGACCCTCCTACTTAATGTCTTCACTAATAAATGTATTTGAAGTGCCTTGATTTATGACTCACGTTATTCTGTTATACAAAAAACTCACGAAACTGTTACTGTGTGGGAACATGACATTTTGGGTAGTCTTATGTGGTTATGCAGCCATAGCTCCACAATAAACTCTCATGCAATTGTAGGTGAGATAAATGAATTTTGTCCCACTTTTTTTTTGCTAAGTTTGAATATATATGTGAGTGTTGTTCCTCTCATTTTGATTTAGCAGCAAACAGCTATCACCTCTGTCTCTGTCTCTCTCTGACCATGCCTGTGTGTGTGTGTGTGTGTGTGTGTGTGTGTGTGTGTGTGTGTGTGTGTGTTAAGGGTCAGCCAGGGCAGAAACCAATCTAAGGCAAACCATCTACTCAGAGATCAGCAAAACAGTAGAGGACAGGTGCCTACTTCCTGTTGTTTTCAAACCTCACCCAAGACTCTGACTCATTGCAAGGGGTGGGTCATGTCCATATTGGTTGACCAGGAACTGTCCTTCCTTCTCTCCTCAGACTTAAGTCACTTCCTAAGCTTACCTGTTTTCAAGACATCTCACCATGAAGAAGAGTTAGTAACCCTCAGCACTGGTGTGGGATGGAAACTGGGCTCCCTGACAAAAACCCACCAAGAACTCACTGCCATCAACTGAATCTAATCTCCTCTACCCACCCTTCTCTCCTCAGGAACCATCATTGGTGCTGCAATAGGAGGAGGTATGTTTCCTGCACCTGCTGGGAGGCTGTGGGAGCTTTGCTGCTGCTTGCAGTTGCTGCTTTGCTGTGGGCTCCACCTCAGCCCTGGCCTTCTACTGCATTCTGGGGCTGCCTGTGTGAAGGGACAGGACCAGAGCTGTGAGCTTAAAGTTTACAGACCAGGTTAAGGTTTCCTGCCTGACTTCTCCTACAGGCTGTATTTATGATGAGCAGCAAGTAGAAAATTCATTGAGGGAGGGGAGGACTGCTACTTTACTGTATGGGGTAGTTAATAACACCTCACATACCTGAAGTGAAGGGTGATGACTTCTCTAGTGTCACATACCTGGTAAGACCATGGCTCTGTCAGATCATCCTCAGACCTCTTGGACTCCACCTGGCTCCCTGGCCTATCCTTCTTTACCTTAGGACCCTTTCCCTGCTGCTCAGAATAGAAAGACCCCCCTCAAATAGTCAAGGAATTCCTGAATGGGTTTTTCTCCCTGAGTCCACACACCATACTCCTCTTCCCACAGTTGGGGCTGTGATTGCTGCTCCCATAGCCCTGAGTGCCCTGGGCTTCACTGGAGCAGGAATTGCAGCAGGATCCATAGCAGCCAAGATGATGTCAGCAGCAGCAATCGCCAATGGGGGTGGAGTTGCAGCAGGAAGCCTGGTAGCCACACTGCAGTCAGTGGGTAAGTGTCAGTCCAGGCAAGAGGACTGGAGACCCAGCCAAGAAAGGCATCTCCCTTTCTCTCCCTACACTCCCACCTCATATAGGACCTATGTCTGCTAGTTCTATGGCTACTCTCTGGTTCATTGTGAGTAAGGTTGGGTTGTGGTGCAGGCAGAAGGGGCACTGGATGGCAGAAGCAGGAAGGAGCCCTGGTCCAAGATACATGCTACCTGGGCTCTGAATCTTCCCTACCTGGGTGTCCTTCTCAGGGTGTCCCCATCTGTCCTGCTATATGGAGGGGGCATTGCTCTCTGGGAGCTCCCCCTGCTGTATCTCTGTTTACCCAAATCTGTCTTCTCCTTGTGGTCCACTTTTGATATCTCTGTCTAAAGCAGAGCCCTAGGGTTCAGTCAAAAGGCAGTGGGTATCTCTAAGCCTCAGGCCACTGAGTGTCACTGCACTGTCTCCATCCCAGGGGCAGTTGGACTCTCTGCATCATCCAACATCATCCTGGGCTCAGTTGGGGCAGCTGTTGGGGCAGCTGTTGAGCAAGCTTCTGAAACCTTGCTTGAATTTATTAAACAACGGCGGGACCCAACAGAAGAATCAGAAGACAGTGAACCTGAAGATGATCCTCCAAATTCATCATTGAAGTCAGAGAAAGATGAAAAATAAAGTTCTTGTGCTGGTGTTCTTACCTTTGCTTCTGGTGACTCTTTGAAGGGACTTGAGTACTGGGAGTGTCAAGTCTTCCAGTTTACTATGACTAACTTAGGCAGGAGATAAATGAGAGGTGACAGGTTGGCCAGCACAGTCAATAGGTAGAGGGCTTTAGGTGATCCCTGCCTCACTGGAGATGGTCTGTCTGTATGGCAACCCCCCCATGCTGTCATTAAGGAGCTTATTTGTTCCTGATTAAAGGTTGGGCTAACAGAGGTTCCTGTCCTGGGGCAAAGGTGAGAGGAAGCCAAGAACATTGACCCCAGAGCCCTTGGTCCTTCTTCATTGATGGTCCTGGATGTGCATGGCTATGAGCAGCACACAGATATCCCACTGCTCCGGGGATGCACGGGGCTAAGCTACTGTCCTGCTGCCTCAGGAAGGAGATAGAATCAAAAATGGTCACCACCATACAATGTCTTCAAAGTTGAAAAGGAGGCTAAAATTCCTGCCTTATGTCCTGGGACACTGACCATACCTTCATCCAAGGGTAGTAGTCATTGTCCATGGCATGCAAAAGGCAGTGCTGGACAGAGTGACATGACACACAAAGAGCTAGAGACAAGGGGAATAAGACTTCTTGAAGGAGGGACAAATGGATGGGACACAGGAATGCTCGAAGAAGTCTATCGTGGGAGCACTCAGAGAGAGATGCGGTTGTAGGTAGACATCTGTTAGGTCAGGTCTGATAGGTTTGACTGCATCAGTCACTTCCAGGCAATCAAGAAGAGCCTCTGTTGGGTATTTGTGTTGCAGCAGACCGGCTGGATTGATGGCTGAAATTTTACAGAAACAGGTGTGGGGTTGACCCAGAAGTGATTGACAATGCATCATTCTAACATTGGCTACCCACCTCTATGGGGTCCTCCTTCAAAAGGACCTTAACAGGGTATGTGCTGTTAGGAATCGTTCCTGGCCCCAAATCAACTTTTTACCTTCTTTTATTAGCATAGATTTAGGGTCCAACCAACAGAAACAGGATCGATCTGTTGGACAGATTGGGCACTGACCTTGTCCAGGGTCAGAATTTTCAGTTAGGGCACCTCCCCCATTTGCAAATAGTTACATACGACAGTGCACCCTTGTCCCTCTTCCTTTCCTGGTGTCTCTGACTTGCCCTCTCAGGTACAGGGTGTCTTCTGTTTGTCTCCCCAAGCACTGCAGTTACTTTTATTTTGCATTTTTTCCCTACAGGGTCATATTATGGTGAACCTTGTTAGTGATCTCTAATAATTGGGATCAATTCATATTTGCAAACCCTTCTGAACTTTGGAAGTTTTCTTTCCATTATCTGGTGTTGACTGTTGCTCACTGCATTTCTGGTCACTCTGGGTCTATGGGAGTGAGCATCAGGTAAGGGTCACAGAAGCCCTTTGGGAACCCGGTAGGTGATTCCTAGGACTTTTGTATTACCTCTGTCACCTTAGACAACTCAGATATGTTTCTAGCAGCTGCTTTCAATATATGCAAAATGACCTGGCAAGAACTCTTCAGAGCCTCCTCACCTTGGGCAGTGTTGGAGTCCTAGTCAGGTGAGACTGAGAGAAAACCCACTCTAACTGGACTACTGTGTCTGGCAGTGATCCTCTGTCAGGCCAAAGGTTGGTCTATCTGCTGCCATGCTGCAGTCTGTCCCTCCCTTTTTGCCATGAAGAGGGTATCCAGGAGCTGTTGGGAGTCACCCCAGGTCATTGGTGGGTGTAAAAACTCTCTCTAGGAGACTAATGAGGTCCTGGAGTTTTCCAGATAATGGTGGTTTTTAATCTTCCAATCCCATACACCACTGCCTGAAAAGAAGATATGAATTATGAAATGGAGACCGAGGCAACCTTTGGTTTTGGACACTGGGGCAGCGAGTTGACTCCTTTAAGGGAGGATGAGGACTGCCTCTGCCCCAGGAAAATTCTTCCTGGCACTGCAATAGCTAGAATCACTCTTTGTGTGTGTAAGGGAGTGGGGACCCAAGCCAGAAGAGATGACCACTTCTTGAGACCAAGTGTGAGCAGTGAGCTACCCCCCCCCAACCCAGCATGGCTGAGGGCTGTGCTGGGCACATAAAAGGGAAAATCATTTAGTATGGCTGCAGTACTGAGAGAATAGGCAGAGGTTTTGGTTTCTCTGGTGACTTAGCTGAAACAAAATGTTTAAATTCAGGTCACCAAAAACAATCACTGGGAGAGTGGTACGAATGTAAACCAAGCTGTGGCTTTGAGATGAGTGGCTCAAACCAGATGCCATGCTAAAACTCCTCATAGGGACTGATCCAGCCCTCACCTGGCTGGGATCTGGGAAGTCATTTAGGTCAACTCCCCACCTAGGGAGGAGCCAAGGAGGATGTGACCTTAGAAGAGTTATCAGGGCAAAGGGCAGCTTCTGTTTTTACTTTTAGACTCATTCCACCTGAGCACTCACCTACACCATGTGTCTCTCTGACAAGATGTGGGACAAGGAGGTGAGCCTAACCCACCCAAGCCCTGGAAGCAGAGAGGTAGAGACCTGAGCAACCTTTACCATGCAAACAGCACATATGATGTTAAGGGAATGATAAAGCTGGCAACAAATTGGTTTTATTTCTTATTTCCAATTAGTCACTTGGGCTTGGCAGACTATTCTCTGGGGTTAACTGTTCCCTCTCTCGGGTGAAAAAACTGGGCAGCGTACCCTCTGCCTCCATGTGCCCTCCTGGAGCAGGAAGGCCTGGAACTCTCAAATGCCCATCTCTTGGGCCATGAGTATAGACCCTGCAGAGCCCAAGAGTAACTTTGATGACATGGAAAGTCCAGCAGCTCCTGTAGGAGAAACAACGGATGAAAGATGTAAGATGGGGTGAAACTGTGGATTCACAGAGGGTCAGTTGCCAGGGTCACTCAGGATGGCCTGAGGTACAGGTCTCCACAGAATCTCCCTTACTCCTGAAGTCTCCAGGATCTGTGTCTAGCACAGTTACTTTTGCAAGGAACTATTCCATACAGGAACTCTAGGGAAAATCAATCCAGTGGGATAGCATCCCCCTCTGCAGGGAAGAAGGCTGGACCCCAGGTGGAGGTTTGAACCCTAGGTAAGCTGGTCAGGGATCCCCCCCTCTCTCCTCTACCTCCCCTGATGAAACCAAGAAGGAAGATAAAGCAGGAACTGAGAACATGGGCTGTGCCTTGCCATCCCTTGAGTCCTCCTGCCATGACACTTACCCACTGACTGCAGAGTGGCCACCAAGCCACCAGCCGCAACTCCGCCCCCATTCGCAATGGCTGACAAGGACATCATCTTAGCTGCTAGAGAGGAGGCAGCAATTCCTGCCCCAGTGAAGCCCACAGCACTTAGCACAGGGGGCACAGCAGCTACAGTCATGGCTGTGGGAAGAGGAGCTGTGTCAGGTAGATTTGTGGAAAGGGAACCCCAACATACTGGATCAACCCAGGGAATCTGCTGGGGTCTGGAGGAGGAGACAATGAGCAGAGAAGATTGGGTCAGGGCTTACCCTCTTCCCTCTAAGGCCTCCTCGGAGAAGCCTAGAGACCAAAGGTAGAATGAGAGACAAGGGGCAGGCTCTGAACCAGAGAGCCAGGCAGGAGTCAGCAGCTAGGGAGCTTAGGAAGAGAAAGATGTTGTCCCTGAAGATGGAGTCCAGGGCTGACTGTGATTGGCAGCAAGACCTTCAGGAAAGGTGCTGTTGGGGCCTCAGTGTCTGCCTTGGTCTAATGCTGGGATCAGAGAGTGGCCCAAGTTAGTGTTACAGAGGATCACATCTTCCCCCAGGAGACAGGAGATGCATGGGACACAACTCTTGAGGCTGGAAGAGGCAACCCAGAGCCCTGCTGTGTCTCCACTGAGAATGTCAAGAGCCACCAAGCTGATGGTGCCTGCATACATCATCTGGTGCATTCCTGCTCTCTGCTTACTTTAGCTCTGCTGCTTCCTGGGCATCTCTAAATGAGCTCAGCAAGCTCACTTCTTCAAGGAAGCAATCCGGAGCTCAGAGGAGTTTACAGGCATTCACCAGGCCTAAGGTGACTATTCTCACACAAGGTGGTGTGGACCTGCTGAAGATGTGGCCTGTGACTACTTCCCCTCCCTCCTTGTTTCAGGTCCTTCTTTCTAGCCACTTCCTTCATCCCATCTCCACCTTTGTCCCACCCGCTCCAGGGAAGCCTACTGGGACAAAATGGGCTGCTTCCTGGCTCCCTGCTTTCAGGGAGAACTAGGAGTGGACTGGCATCGCTTTCCTGAAGATACTCACCTCCACCAAGCACAGCAACAGTAGCCTTGGCTAGAAACAAAAAGAAAATCCTATGAGAGGATTGCCACTGTCCCCTTCCCTATCCAGCTCACAGGAAGGAATGAGCCCTGTCTGTCCTTCCTTCCCTGAGACAGAGGACCCAAGTGCGTCTGTCTGCCCTGAGCAGGGACTGGCAGCTGGACTCTGGAGGACTCAGAGATCTCAGGTATGTTTTGCTCTGCTCTTGGGCATTTGCATGTTTGTTGTGTGCCTGCTCTGGGGAAGGGTGCTGGTGTTATCATTTTTTTCTCTGCCCCACAAAGCAGGGTCTGTTCAGTGAAGCCAAAAAAGGCTGGAGATATAGGCTGGTAATAGAGTGACTGCCATGGCTTCCTGAAAAAAAGAAAAAGAAAAAAAGAACACTATTCTTGTGGGCCTCACTATAAACAATGTGGTAGCCTTTCTCAGTGAGCACAGAGTACTGGAGCTGTCATTAAAAGTCCTGAATTGATTGATATAGGGCTAAACCTCCACCAGGGTAGGGAGCAAGACAACATGCTGCTTTTGAATCCTTAAAGCCTAAACCCAGTGACACACTTCCTCCAACAAGGCCACGCCTCCTAAATCTTCCCAAATACTTCCACCAACTGGTGTCCAAACAGTCAAGTATATGAGTCTTTAAGGTCCATTCTCATTCAAACCACACTAGCTACCCTGGTGGTTTCTTCCCTTCACAACAGGGATACTAATTGATTAGAAGCAGGGTCAGTGTCTGCCAATGTGGGTGACCAGACTCTCATTTGTAGCTCAAATTCTAGTTAGTTTTAATAAGAGAAAACCAAAGACAGATATTGGGGTTAAAGATGAAGATCAGATAAACAAAGCAACCAGCCACTAGTGAGTTCTCACCTCTACCAATACTCAAACCTAAGGGCTGACCCACAGAACCTCAGTCTTCTCCAGACTGCATTGTTCCTCAGACTTCACTGCAATCCACCAAACCTCATACTGCACTGAGTTCCTGTCTCCTCCAGCCTTATATTCCTCTCTAGTGCTGGGATTAAAGACGTGTGAGCCCAGTTGCTGAGATCACCCTTGAGTGAGCTCTGTTTCTCTTTTAGACTGGATCAATTTCATCTAGTCCAGGGTGGCCTTGAACTAACAGATATCCATGTGCCTCTGTCTCTTGAATGCTGTTTTTAAAGGTATATACAACCACTGCCTAGCCTCCATCGCTAAATAGTGTGGCCTGCTTTGCACTCTGATGTTTAGGCAAGCTTTATTTATTAGACCATAAACAAATCACCACACTCCTTGGCCCATCAGGAGGCAGGAAATCTCCAGTTTACAGAGTGGTACTTCATTGTAGGGTCTTCTTCTAGTAAGGTCAAACACCTGTTGTGCAAACATGTTACCTGAATGTTACTTTTTTTTTCTTTTTGGTTTTTCCAGATATTAGGTTTCTCTGTGTAGCCTTGGCTGTCCTCAAACTCACTCTAGACCATGCTGGCCTTGAACACAGAGATCTGCCTGTGTCTTGTAGGTGTGGGCCACCGCCAACAGGCTGAGTGCTACTTAAGAGACATGTTTGAATGAACTAAGACACCGATTCATTGTTTACTCCTCTAGGAAGCCTTCCCACATTCCCCTGAACAGAATTTATTACTCTAGACATTGAGCATCCATACTGAATCATATTTAGGTACATATGAACTCAGCTCCCAACACTGTGAGCCCTCAGGCATCATGCAGGATCCTTGTATCCTGCAGCCACAGGAGCCAGGATTGAATACTCTGAAGCTGGTAGGGCCGGAAGGTCAAAGGGTAACCTGGAGAGCTTAGGAAGCTCTCTAGTGGCCTATGGATAAAGACAGGGGAATGAAAGTCAGGCTTATACAGGAGACTGACAGGTGTGTGTATGGGGTTCTATATGGAGGGGATAGCATCAAGAACATGGTTGGATGGCATTTACTGTCGGTCCACTTGTACTGGCAAGCAGGGGAGGTGGCTACCAGGCTGCCTGAGCCATGAGACAGGAAGCCCCCCCCAAAAAAAAAAAACAGGTGCTGTATGTCTGATTGCCAGCATGCCAGCTCAACTGATGGCCACAGGGGTAGCCAAGCCTTTACGGGGGTGTTAGAACTTCAGCCTGGGACTCTTCCCATCATCACCCCTACTTCCCTATTGTTTGCAGAGCCCTGAATTTCCTTTCTATTTCCTGTCCCTAGCAGAAGGAGAAGCCCTACAATTCCTCCTGCTCAGGGCCTTGGAACAATGGTCCCTTCAGATCAATGAGGAATAACATTGACAGGCATGGTGATTTTGGATAATAATTTCAGCACTCAGGAATCTGGCAGGAAATTGTCACAAGCTTAAATGGCAATCATCCTGGGCTACTTACATAGTGGCTCCTGAGCTAGCCTGAGGTATAGAGTGAAGCCCCATCTCCAAAAGGGGAGGGAGACAATGTTATCTTCTTCTGAGGCCATTAGAACAACTCAAGGAACTTAACAATGCAATAGACTCCCAACTGAGGCATGAATGCATGCTATAAAATTCTACTCAATAAAATTGTACTGATCTTATATCATCTACTCCTCTGGATTCCCTAACCATCTGTATCTCTGACAAGCAGAAAGGAAAGCAAACTGTGTCTTGTCATAGTTCTTCACTAAGAATTGGGGCCCAAGGAGGAGTGTCTGACATGCAGGGCCACTCACCTGCACTGGGACCAACAGCCAAGACAGAGGCAGGGCACGCCGATAGGATGGTGCCAACCTTCAGTGCTCC